TCCAGTATCAATGAGTGAGCATGCCCATTGTGTTCGAACAATATGGTAACAAAACGCAGTACTTTTGCCAGTTTTCCAATTAGATCAGGTAGCTAATGAATTATCCAAATGCTGTTTTGAACTTATTTAATGGTCTTGCTTTTGGTGCTTGGAAATACATATTTGATATTATGTCATTCGTTATCATTCGTATTTGTTCTTGAGAAATTTTTGTCTTATGACCAAACTAGTCCTTTCATAGAGAAAGGGGTAGTGGGTGTTGGCTTCTATAAATCTTACCTTGAATACTTGATGGCTGGTTTATGTTCCTGTGATGCTCCATCACGCCCCAGTTGCATGTATGTTCTGCTTTTTAAATGAGAAATATAATAACATATATAAAATTAAAAGCGAAAACTCCACCACAAGTTCCAACACTAGACCTTGCATTTCTTTAAATTAAATGCAAAAAATCTACCACAAGTTCCAAAGCTAGACCTTGCAATTCGTTTGTGTAAGCTGTCAACGTCTTTATTTCTTGAATTCTTGAAAACACGTATTATTATATTTATATACATGTCAAGCATTTGAAATGGAGCCTTTGACTTCCAATTTAAATTTGTAAAGTATTGTTATGTATCTAAATTAGCCTGGTGAAATAAAAATACTACAGTGGACACCTGCAGCCTTCTCTAACTTTCAAAGGAAATCTAGAAGTTCGATGATAGGGTTAAGATAAATTGATATTGAGACGTGCGTGGGTCAATTACATTAGTTGGTTAATTATACTTTTACTAAAATAAATTTCTAGATCTGCCCGTAACTTTGATTAGATGGCTGACAACCACCACTACCTTCAAAGTAATTCATTTTGATTCAATTTTCTGAAAAGGTAAAATAACTTCAAGTGTTATTCATAATTTTTTTTTATCAATATGGTCTTGTTATGGTTTTATCTATGCAGCTAATTCTTGAGTGGATGATAAAGTTGCACTTAATTCGATTAAAATTTGGATTTGTTGTTCATTTAGGAATTTGTTTAGATATTTTTTTCCAAGAAGCTTTAGCCTGCATATATTCTGTTCTTCAAATGCTCAATTATCATCATGTCCTCTTGCCATAACACATTTTTGTTTTAGATGTGCATCAACTTGTTTGCCACATTCATATGAGAAGAATGTCCTGCGACTTGGTATGCATAATTTTCCTTCTTTTTCGTTTGAATAGATTTGTACTTGGTCATGAATCAGAAGTTTGGGCTTATTGACTAACAAAAATAAAATTTAATTTAGGACTTATTGACTATGTGGAGATCAGTTTTGCAGCATCGATGTTGTATATGTACTCCATCATTTTCTCAAAATTGAAAATATAATAATCTCGTGCAATTTGCAGGATGGAGTACATATACAACATCGATGATCGATGTGATGCAAAGGTTACAATACTTTCGAATGTGTCAAATGTAGAGAAAGTATATGAAGCATTAGATAATGTCCATAAGGAGATGTTTTTGAAGTCGTGCTTCGGTAAGCTGTATGACATCAGGAACATGAAAATATTTGCTCAACTAATTCACAACCTATTATTACGATGGATTGTATCTGTCAATGAGGATGAATTGTGGTTTTGTTTAGACTTGGAAAAAGCTGCCCGTTTCTCCCTATACGAGTTTATGCTTATCACAGGATTAAGCCCTGCTAATGAAAAGGAGTATGAGAACCAAATAAATGAAGATGGTAGATTGAAAAATAAATACTTTCCAACATCTAGCAAGGTTACGCCTAAAGAATTAGATGAGGCATTTGAAAAAGAGATAGAAGACATGGATGACAAATAAAAATTAGGTTTAGTGCTTATATATGAAACGGTGTTGAGGTCCAAAGAAAAAAAATACGTCTATAGATCTTCACACCTTAGATATAGTTGATGATTTAGATCTATTCAATGAATATTCATGGAGAACTAAAAGCTTCAAATTTACAATACATGCATTTCTGAGAGTGTCGAAAAATCCAAAGGCCAA